GCCCAGGCCCGGCTCCTGCGAGTCCCAGGCCGAGCCTCGGCGCCCCCTGCTCGGCGCGCCGCCTTCGCAGCTCCGGGGCTGCGCGCGTCCTCCTGGGCTCCCCAGGGAGCACTTACTTTGGTTTCGATCTGCTGCACCATTCTGGCTGCTGGGGGCCTGACGAGCTACCGAAGCCAGCGATCGACGCGGATGGAAGGCGCGGGACGTAGCTCGGAGCGAGCGCGCCGCCCGCCTTCCCTTTATAGTGACGGGGCGGGGCGGGGCGGCGGGAGCGCGCGCGCGCGTGTGGCGGGAGCGCGTCCGCTCGGGCCTCCCGCGTTCGCCCTTGCGCGGCGCCCGGGCCTCGCCCCCGGGGCCACCGAGCCGGAGCTAGGGGCGTGGCTTCCAGGTGGGCGGGGCTGGGGCGGGGCGGGGCGTACCGCTGGGAATGCTCTGTCCGGGAGGAGCGGCGCTTCTAAAGACCCTGGGGCTACGCGCAGCAGTGGGAAGCTCGCGGCCACCCGCAGCCACAGGGCCGCTCCTGGGTCACTTGGCAACGCGTCAGCCAGGCCTTAGTCGGAAACGCCCAGGCTCGGGACGGGGACAGTCCTGCAGTCCTGAGACCGCCCAGGCCAGGCTGATTTCTCGGAAAGGACGGCCTAGCCCCGGCTCCACCGCCGCGTGCACGTAGCACCTTGCAAAATGCTGAGTAACGGTGACTAGGAAGTAGGTCTGTGCTCGCCGTCACCTCCTTTCCGGATTTTACCGCGATGGCTCTCTTGTCTTCCCTCCTGGTCTGTGACTTTCACGGGAGAGAACACGCAGCTCCCGCGTGACACAGCAGCTTAATGCAGTGAGGTCCAGAGGGCTGGGAGACTGACTGGGCTCTAGACCCAGGGCAGCTGCTGGTGAGATGTAAGTGTGGCTGGAGAGAATTCTGCAACGGAGTCACGCAGTTGTGCCCCTGGGCATGTCCTGCCCTCCCCGGGTCTCAGTTTTCTCTTTCGTAAATTGGGGGTCATGATGGTCTCCACGTCTTGCTGGTGGCGTTTTGAGGCATTCAGCATTTATAAAGTGATTTAGGATCGTGCTTGGCGCATACTAACCACTCAATAAATTGTTGAAGTTGTAATTATAGCTGCTGTGAGTACTAATCAGGCTTGTTTGGTGCCATGAGGGGCTTGGCTGCCTTATATTTACGATGATAGCAGTGCACACTAGTGTAGGAAGGAGGTTTAAGAGAGTCTTTTCGATCCCGGGGATGTCTGCAATAGCTTGTATTGGTTCGGGGCGCCTGTGCAGGTTGGGGCTGGATGGCTGGGAGCTGGGGACGGTAGGCTAGCTGGCTTTGTGTAGCTGGCAGGGCCTGTCAGCAGCTGGCAACGGATATGGGGAGAGCAGTGAGAGCCAGAAACCTGGGAGGACAGGTCCTAGGTGTGCATTTTCAGAGCTGAGCAGCGCTGCTTGAAGCTGCATCTAGGTGTCCCTGGCCGGCCTGGCAAACTGGCTCTGGCTCCCCCTGGAAGAGTGGATGTGGAGGATGTTACAAGTACAGAGATGGAACTGGGAGGCCAGAGTAGGAATGTCTGTGGTCAGGACTCTGCCAATAGACTCCTTCGTCCTCACTCACACTTAGTTGGGTAACTCGAGGCCAACCTGCATAGCCTTCTGGTGCCTCCGCTTCCTCAGCTGTACAATGGAGATAATACCTTATGCTATTAAGAGGTTGAGTGGGCGCTAGTACTGCATATGTGAAGTTCTTGGAACTGTTCCTAGTGGGTGATGGTTTCTACATGGGCTGTGACTACTACAGACCCGACGGAGGAAGGTGAAGTCTGGAGGGGTGGCAAGCCGGAGTGCAAGGGGGGACAGTAAAACAAGTGTGAGTGTTAAATACATTAAATAATCAGGACATTTGTAATGAGCAATGAGCTCTGTAAGGTGAGTCTCAGAGAAGGAGGGCAGAGAAGTGGGCTGGGTGTTGTCCCAAGAAGCAAGAAGCAAAGCCCCTGCCTACAGGGGTGTGGGAGACCATCTTCAGGGTTTCAGTTGTAGGAAGGAGGTGACATTCCATGAGGACAGTGAGGTGCAGGGTAATTGTTTGCAATCGTCCCGAGTGGGAGGACCTATTTGTGAGCAAAGTGTAGAGGCAAGAGGAGGAGAGAGGGGCCAGAGGTATAGCTCAGTGGCACAAGCGCCTACCTGGCAAGCACAAGGTCCTGAGTTTGATTCCTGGTACCAAAAAAAAAAAAAAAAAAAAAAAAAAAAAAAAAAAGAGGAGAAAGAAGGAAATATGACAGAGTATTTTCCCCCCTTTCTGGTAAAGGCCTTCATCTGAGGAATTGATGGGATGTTGTAGGCAGAACTCTCAGTTGCAAGGAAGTCTCGTATTCACCCAAGAGAGAACTGGGAATTCACATCGCCAGGAGCTCCAAGAAGCTAAAGCTGTCACACTGCGCCATCTGGATTGTTTCATTCTTGGGCAGGCTGTTTACCTTACCAAGAGGGGCCCATAAATCCCCAGACTTAGGTCCCTGTGTTTGGACATCTCTACAGGAACTGTCCATCACCCTTGTTCTTATCAGTGTCACAGAGGCTGACCTTCATTGGCAGATTGGGGGAATGGGGGTGGCCTTGGTTGAACCATTGGACTAGGACTAGGGAGAATCCAGGGAGGTACAGAAAAAGGGGTTGGATGGTGGAGGGGAAGAAGATATTTTCAGGTCCAGAAGAGCAGAAAAAAATAGCAGAGGTGATGAACTGGCTGTAGGTTTCTGGGTTAGCTCAGTCTGAGGCTGTATGTGGGACTAGAGAACTAGGTCAGCGGTCTTTGTTTGGGTTTCACCCTGGATTTGAAGAAAATGCAGCTTCAGTGCATTTGAAGCAAGTTTTTCTCAGGTCTCAGATTTCTTTGACCACTTAAGTCAACCGAGCTGTGGTTGTGGCGGGGGGGATTCTGCAGAGACCTGGGCCACATCCAGGCAGACAGGGGGAAATCAGTGTTTTGAGGTAGTCTTGGAACCTGCATTTAAACAACATCCCAAGCAATTAGGTACCCTTAAGATTTGATAAACCTTGCCCTGGGATCTTCAAAGAGAGGCGGGGCATGGTTAAAACTTAAAGACTGTCTAGCAAGAGAGTTGAAATGAAGACATAAAACAGAAGATGTTGAAATAAAATAAGTTCTTAGTACTGTGATAAGGAAAATGGTAGAAGGAAAAGGAACAAATAAACATGTGAACTATCAGTAATGCCAAGCCCAGATCTAGGTGTGAGTCATTCCTCTCAGTGTCCCTTAGGAGATAGATACTGCTTTCCCCATTTTACAGAGGAGGAAATTGGTCGGAGGGGTTGTCTGGTTAGACTAAAAGCTCATGTACTCTTTACCCTCTTCACGAAGACAAGGAAATGCTAGCACAGTTTTTAAGCACATCCACAAATGGGGAAATCATTTTCGCCAATGAAAAATATCTGACATGTCTTATGCTAATGTATGTATGCTAGAGATTACATTATTTTAAATGTTACTTGGATTTTAAAAACTAATTTAGCCAGGCCTGGTGGCACACACCTGTACTCCCAGCACTCGGGAGGCTGAGGCAGGAGGATCATTGCAAGTTCCAGGCCAGCCTGGGCTACAAAGTGAGCTCAAGGCCCACCTGAACTGCACAGTGAAACCCTGTCTCTAAAGAAAGACCAAAAAGAAAACAAAACAGAACAAAAAAACCCCAATTTGTGTATAAATATATGTCACCCATTTAATGCTAAGCAAGTTTAAGATTATATAATAATCTTAAATATTGTTTAAGTTATACTCTTAAATAATAATAAATATAATTATATTAATAATAATTAAATATTAAGTTTCATATTATATAATAACTTCTGTGAATAACCTGTCTTCCATAGCACTGCTTGTTGTTTTCCCAAATATGACCCACAGGTCCCCCTTTCTGCCCTTAAAACACTTGCACTGTGCTCCTCAGAAACATCTGGCTTCGGTAACCACCACTACATGCTTCTCAGATGTTTTTTGTTTCTGAGAGAGGGGCTCGTTCTGTAGTACAGGCTGGATTTAAAGTCACTTTGTAGCCCAGGGCAGCCTCAAAATCATGGCGCTCCTCCTGCCCCAATCCCTTAGTGCTGGGGTTATAGGTGTGAGCCACCACGCCTGGGCTTTTTTCAGATATTTCTTTTGGCTTAAAGTTTTGCTCTTCTCGATGCATATCATTGTATCACATATGACGTTCCATGTATGCCAGGGCCAGGAGGTCAGGAAGTGCTTTCCTTTGCTGCTTTCAGACTCTCTCCTTCAAAAATCTCGTGGTCTTTGGGGTTAAATCCTTTTTCAGGGGGAGGAGGGGGCAGAGTAGAATTTGACTCTTATCTCACACCGCGCAATAAAATTACACAACATTTTGTGTACAACTCCTTGAAGACACTGGAGTAATCTTTGCAACTTTAGAGCAGGTATATATATATATATATATATATGTAT